AATGGAAATGAAAGTATTTCACCTTGGCTGAATTTGATTGAATCCATGATGGGCTATACTTGTGTGAATCAATAATTGTTGCACTTAGATGAGGATGATTGGGTGACTTGATTTTACCTTGCCATGGTGTTAGAAATTAATGAAAGTTACTTGTGTGAATATGCTGGAAAAATGTGAGTGATGTGAAAATTGAACACTATTCATCCTTCGTAATTGCTCTTAGAAAACCGTGAAGGAGCATGATGTGATGCATGGCTGAAAATCTAAGTTACTTGTTATTTGCTATAACTATGCCTTGAAATTACTATCTTACTAGCATCACATGCATCATTCGCATTCTATTATGAAAGATTTGATAATCTATACTAATGTACAGCAAAAATTGATTCTAAAACTCTATGATCTTGATGATCTAGTGCCCTTGAGGGCTGTTTAAATGAAATAGACTATGACTATGTATGGACTTTATGGAAATTCTATGATCTAGCTATATTATGAGTATTTGAGTATGAGAAATGAAAAATCAACAAGTGTTCTATGAGGAAAAGAGAGAAAAACTGAGAGAAAAGAACTTTGTGTGCTTGAAAATTTATTCAAATTATTTGATGGTTTAAAAAGAGCCTAAGATTGATTGAAATCTCTAATGGAGAGTGAAAAATCGAGAGGTAATAACCTTGGGTGCTTATAAATCAATTTGACTAATTAATGGTTTAGAAGGAGTTTAAATTTGATTAAAATTCCCTAGTAGAGAAAGAAAAATCGGGAGGAAAGAATCAAGTGAGTTAGAATTTAATTTGATGGTTTAGAAGGTGCTAGAAGTTGATGAAAATGGGTAGAATGATTAAGATGAACTTGAATGGCAGGATTCAATGGATTGAGAAATGAAATTGTACTAAATCAAAAAGAACTAGACTTGAAACATAAAAGGACTAGATTGAACCAAGACAGAGAATATGAATTATGGAGGATTGAATGATTGGACTAAGCTAAGGTCCAAACTACTAAATGTTGCACTAAAAATTATCCATGAGTATGAATCTATAAAACCATGAGACTATGAATCTATGATGAAAGATCTATTATAAACTATGAGCTCAGAGAACTATACTACTTTGAAACTACTTGAAACTCATGGAATCTATCCATGCTACTAAATGAAATTCATGGAATCTATCCATGCCACTACATGAAACTCATGGAATGAAACTCATGGAATCTATCCATGCTACTATGAAACTCATGGAATCTATCCATGCTGCTACATGAAACTCATGGAATCTAACCATGCCACTATGTGAAACTCATGGAATCTATCCATGCTACTAAACCCTGTGATGGCTTCTATTCTATTGTGCCTTAGCCTCAAAGTGGCTACATGAAATGAAAAAACTATCAAAGAAAATTGAAAAATACTATTTCATGCATCATACTATTTTTTTGAACGACTTGGAGGCATTACCGCGACACAGCTTGGAGGTATTGTAGGTTTGGTCCCGAGTAGATCTACTGGGGGTGGCAAAAAGGGGAACAATCGACCTAAGTGGCAACAGTGAAGTGCCCCTGTGACCGGGTCGTGACCCACTGCAAACCTTAGCGAAACCTAACAAGGACCACACATTCTATGGTCGTTGAGGTCCATTCCCGAAGAGACCTATCTTGGGCCAAACACTAGTGGTGTTCTACTAAAGCTAAATGCTGCTTCTATTCTATTCTACCGTGCCAATCTAAATGCAGGGAATGGAGTCCTCCGATCATCTTACGACTTGAATCTATCTATCTATCTATGAGACTCTATGGTAAAAGCTAGGCAAGTCGCCAGTCATAGAGTGATGGGATCCTCATGCATCATTGCATACTATCAAAACATAAGAGACGATAATGGGTGAGGTTGAAACCTGCATTCATGCATCATATGCATTACTACTAGGAATGATTGATTGATTGTGAAATTGGTAATGAATATGAATATTCTTTATTTCTCTACTATATTACTGAGTACTTGATGATGATGAATGTTGATTGTTGAAAGTGCTTGTGTTTGTGATGCCGCCTTCCTTGGGGTATGGCTATTTGATTATTGTTTGTGTGTAGAGAACTCACCCTTTTGGAATTGTGTTGTATTGTGTCGTTCTTTTCTTTTATCTATATAGAGGGACAAGAACAAGGTGAAGGTATGGATCCCACCTTCGGAGGAAGATATCTATCACTCGTTCATCTCCTCGTACTACTGGATGGATTGAGGAGAGCGGTAAAGATTATGCTACTGTTGTTGCTACTTCTAGTCCTTCTTCGCCTACTTTTTCTGAGCGGTCTGATCCTATTAAGGATTACTCCCTTTATAACTGTTGCTTTTATTCGATCATGTATTAGGGGAACTGCTCTTAGAGAGTCTAGTTATATTATGTTACTGTATTTGGATAATGTTACCTTATTTTAAACTATGACTAATTTCCTTGTTGGATCAACTGATAATTATAATATATGGAGGCACTTTTAGATCATGGTATTATGATTGATTTCACTCTACTATACTATCGATTATGAGATTTTGAGATTATAATTCATCTATGAAGTGACAAGGTGTTGGATGTAATTCAAATATGCATATTAACTCTCTCTTCTAGAAAAAGGGAACCTATACTTATATTTGTATGTATGAAGAAATTTTTTTTTACCAGATTTTGGTATTTTCTGAACTACTATAATATAAAAGTTGGTATAAGAGTTTTAGTACTAAAAATGTTGTTGCACTTAACACAGAGATAAACAAATTTCTAAATATATTTAGTTAAATTATAATGAATTTAATGTTTTATTAATTGTGTAATTATATATTTGGAAAGATGTGTAAATGTTAATTATTATATTGTAAATTAAATTTAATTGTTTGTTATAATTATAATTATTATATTAAGGAATGTAAATTAAAATTCTATTATATATTTTTAATTATTATGATAAATTACTTTTGTCTTGTAGTAATTTGTAAATTATAATAATTTTGTATATATTATTTTGTTATTATACAGAAATCTCAAATTTTAAAAACTAGGCGTTGTAATATGATGGTCGCTCCAGATTCAAGAATGGAACCATTTGTTAGGGAGACTGGTTTTTAGCATGTTGCACAGATAGTCCCAGTATTTGATTATGATAGGACATTCATAAGTGCACTTGTAGAACGTTGGAGACCTGAGTCACACACATTTCATCTTCTATATGGAGAATGTACGATAATTTTAGAGGATGTTGTGTTTCAACTAGGCTTACATGTGAATGGAATCCCTATGAGTGGGTGCATTAGAGCGTGGGGGAAATTTTATGATCGAAATATATGGACATTGTATAAAGATTTACTTGGAGTAGTTCATGATGAGAGAAACATAAATTTTTTTTTCGTAAATCTATAGTGGTTCACAAATACATTTGGAGTATTACCTCACATTGCTGATTGATAGATTATTATCCATTACACTAAAGTGTACATAATGGTTCTATTTGGTGAGGTATTGTTTCTAGATAAATCAGGATTTAAGGTTCATATAAAGTGACTACCTCTTTTAACTGATTTTACTGAGATTTCAAACTATAGTTGAAGTTTTGTTGTTCTAGCATCCCTTTATCGTAAGTTTTGTCATGCAGTGAAATACAATGTCACCGAAATTGCAGGTTGTTTGCCTCTTCTACAGTCTTGGGCATGGTATAAAATACCCCTAAGCACCATCATCCTCTTACTTTTCCACTAGCATTGAGGTACATATATTTATCAATATATCATTTTTTGTTGTTTATATATGTTAAATTTGCAAGTAAAAACTAATTATGCCCATTTCAAGTGAAAAAGTTATAGGTCATCGACGAGATCAGATAAATTATTGCGATATAGGAGGATCATTGATTCAATTGGCATTAATAGGGTAAGTTCAAATAGGGTGTATGCTGTTAACTTTTGTTTTGGATGATTTTATTTAATAGTCTAATATTTGTTATTACTTATTTCAGTTTAGGTGGATACCTTACAGCAACAATGAGGTCAAGAACATTACACCTCCTTTCGTGTATGATGAGGATAATGTTTAGACATTTGTGACTACTCTTATACAGTTTACTGTGATTTAGTGACACCCTGTTGATCGGGTAGTTTGACAATTTGGTAAAGCACAACACATACCAATCAGCCAGATAAATATTAATCGGTTGCACGCTAAGGATGGGAGGGGTGATCTAGATATATGGTAACCTGATTATCATGTGACATAACATGCTGCATGGGAGGCACGTAGGGAGCGACGAGTTCAATATCCTCTAACTAATGATGATCGTCCCTCTGTCGAGTACTTTCAGTGGTACTTGTCAGTCGCTAATGGATTTTTGTCGTTTGATGGAGCCCCACAGGATGCAGAGCTTAGGGACTTACTTGATGGTGTACCACTACATGCCACCTAGCACCTGACATCACACACCCTAATAATGTTACAGATAGACGGTCTTTTATGTGTCATTTGTGTGCTGGTGCACGTGCTAGTAGACGTCAGTACCGTGATGAGGCGCATATACTAGCCAACCTCCCAGCACATGATGTACAACCTGATGCAAATCTAGTTGTACAACCTACCTCACACTACGTATACCACCCGACACCCACATACCCCAGTCAGCACTTCATGTCAAGACATAGCCAACAGTAGTACATGGCTGATCTTTCTTAGTATCAGTTCATGTTGGGCCCTAGCTAACCATGTATGACCCCCAGCCAATAGTTTATGGTAGGCCCTAATCATTAGTTCATATCATATTCTTTTCTTACTCCTAGTCCTATGCAACATTTTGTTACAGGTCTAGCTCAAGGTGATATTGCACGACATATATCTTTTAGTCCACCTTTCATGTTAGATGTTGAGGTTATGGCTTGGCTAAATTCAATCGATATAGCTAGATCTATGCCACCACTAGATAATTTACCATCGCCAACACAAATGTGAACTCCCTCCTTCAATGGTTTACCGAGGAGGGCGAGGAAGAGCATCAAAGGAAAGTCCAACAGCAGGAAGTAGATGACCAATACATGCATGACCAAAGTCAGTAGGAGTAGAAACATGCACATTGTAGACCTGTATGATAGATTGTATATCGTCATTGTGCAACAAGGAGCCACCTTGCTGGGCTCAGACGCAACAAGCGTGACCTATAGTCACATATGCTATATGGTGTATATATATTTTATAGACTACATACTTTGGATTTTATGTATTTTGAAATTTTAATTTTATGTATTTTAGAATTTTAATTTCATGTACTTTGGAATTTTAATTTTATGCAATTTAGAATTTAAATTTTATGTACTTTGAAATATTACTTTTACATTTATATCATTTAATAGTTTATAAAAATTATTATACAAAAATATTAACAAATTTAATTAAAATTATTATTTTTCTTTAATTTCAGTAAAAAATTAAAAGAAATTATATAACTTAAGTGTATACATAGATCATAATTCAAACTCCAAAAATGCACCTAAGGCAGGGTATGTTTTTAACTAAAGTTGATTATAATTAACTTTCTTATAACACAAGTAGATTATAATTAACTTCCTTATTGCGATGCTAAAAACAGTTATAATTGACTTTTGTATTCATGTTTGAAATCAGTTTTAATCAACTTTCATGTAATTCAAATAAAAATATTTATGTAAAACTTTTTATTTCGGTACACATACATAATATTTAATCATTTTTATTTTATTTACGTAAAAAAACCCTTTTTCTTGCCAATTAGCCGATATAGTCAAAACATACAGAGAAACATAATATGTAATGTTTCATGAAATAGCTTGATAATCAATATAATATAATCAAAAGTCATATCCTAAATATCAAACTTCTCCCTTCGGTAATAGGATTTTGTCGTTAGTTCTTGCAGTAAAATAGACAACAAAAACTTTTCATTGTTACAAAAGACAAATTCAAATTTAAAATCTTTATTTGGAGGAAGAAATGATAAAAAAATTTTAGCAAACGACATTAACAAACTAATTACATATTTAGTATTTCATAAAATATTAAATGTGGATCACTTTAACAATGTTGAAAATAGTTTTTTTTTTCTTTTTGTAAAAAACGCATGTATGTTTGGAATGAATGTTGTTCCAAGTAGTTTTCTCATAATTTTTTAATATAGACACAACATGTTTAACATTTGTTATAAAGTACAAATTGATTAAAATATTTATCTTTAAAGTCATAACACTACAAAATAAGTCACACGTAATAAGCACGGAACAATTTTTTGTTTTTAATTGTGTAAGTGTTTAGTAGGTTAGATAATTATATTTGAATTTTTATATATTTTTATATATTTTTATCTTTTTATTATTAATATATTATTTATCATATTTCTTATTTTATATATTTTTCTTTTCTTTTCTTTTCTTTTCTTTATCCATCTCACACCCTTCCCTAGAGTGTAAGCAAAACATAACAAGTTATATTTTTTCTTAATTACTTTAAAAAATTAATTTAATATTGATCTTCCGTCTCACTTTAATTTTAAGGATGTCATTGCCCCCTTCGAATAAAAAAATAGTCGAATGATAGTTCCAGCCATTGATGCACAAACTCTATCTGCCTCAATTTTCATTTGGACATTTTTTAACATATTTACTGAATTATTTGCTAAACGTGAGTTACAATAAATCAAAAACAATTTTAGGACTTTTTACATTTTAAATTAACTAATTTAATATTCCATATAAAGGAATTTTATTTTATACATATATTATTTAATAATTGAATAAAAATAATAAAATATTTATGCGTATATTAATTAATATTTTAAGGTGCTAATAAAGTTTATATTAATTTAATATTTAATAATTTTATAGTATAAAAGTATATTTTATTATTAATTTAATTTAATTCAATTAATTAAGAATTCAGATTTTATGCAGTTTTGACGAAAATTATAGCTTGCAATGTGTTTTTGCTTAAATAATTTAAATTTGCTTAAACAAAAATAAAAAATTTCACTTAAAAAGAAAAGGGATGAGGAAGAACACGAGAGAGAAAAAACTGGAAGAAGAAGAGTAGGAATGAAGAGAGGTGAGAGTGGAAGGGAAGAGGAGTGCAAGAATGGTAATTCAAGCTGAACTTCACATAAAAACTGCAAAAGATTCATTTTCGGTTGAACATACATAGCTGTAGATCAATATTTTTAGATAATTAGTTAGTAGGGTGACTGGAAATTTGCATTGCGGTTAAAAAAATTGTGGTCATTAATTTTGAGGGACAGACAAAAGTAACACAAAGGTTTAAAGAGTAATATTAGTAGCATATCTTTATAAGATAATTTTTAAGGTCTTAAAGATTGAAAATATATTCTATATTTTTTTTATCTGTGAAATTATTATTATTAATATTATATGAAATATATGTAATAAATAGTAAAGTTAATAATATATCATAAAAAAATTTAAATATTTTTTAATTTTTAAGTTATTAAAATAATCATAACTAATAGCTTTTAAAAAAATTTGAGCACTAGAGGTATCTTTCTATTATTAAGTAAAATTTATATAAATTATAAAAATTAAAGGATAATTTAGTAGACTTTTCCTTATTTATTTAATGGGACTAATATGAATTTTATCCGATTAATTTGTTTTCTATGTAAAGTTTTTTATTCCTATTTGATTTTAAAGTTGGCGAATATATTATTTTGGGAATTCGTAAAGTTTTGGATTCTGGCATGTGATTTGTAAAATGTGTGCCTTAAAGCTTGATGCCACGCTTTATGAAATTTGCAAAGTATTATCCAATACGTTTCATACTGATATTATAGTATGTTCAATAAAATTAAATTTTTTATTTCTTAAAACATTGATCAGTTTCATAGCTTTAAAATGTGAAGATATTAAGAAGAAATAATTTTGATTAGAAAATGTATTCATGCACTTACATTATATAACCTTTGAGAAATGTTGTTTCCAATACTTAAAAATACTAGTAGACATTCCATTAAAAAAAATTATAGACCTTTTCCATTTAAATATTGAAATCCCGGTCTTTGTTAATACTCAAATTGTTACCATCTTAAACTAGCTTGTGAGGTACTTCATTAAGCACAAGAATCCAAATGCTTTTATCTCCACACGGGCATACCCCACCCAGACAGAAAAATCATGCTGTCTTTTATTAAATATTTTTAACGGTTAACAAGTGAAATAAAGTGGAAAATTCTAACCTAATTTTTAACCAATTATTCACTGTTCAATAAATTTTATATTATTTCTAATAAGCACAAAATATAAAATATTTCTTATCTTTTAAAATTTATTTTAAATCTATTATAAACATTAATAATTTTCATATTATAATTTTGACTCTTCATAATTAAATGACTGTATATTATACAAAAAAAAAAAATATGAGTGTATATTTTTAATTGTTTTCTTATAACTTATGGCTTCATTATAATTTCTTTCTATTTTTTTTTTACTTTTAAATGATATTTAAATTATCAATATTTTAAAAAAAATTATATATAGAATGGGGCAAAAGTCCAAAAACAAAACAAACTAAACACTAGGTCTAGATCACAAAGTATTTAAAGAATCCAGCTGTAAGAAGGGTTCAAGAGAAGAAGGAGCCTTATCAAAAATAGCAGAAGGCAAATCAAAATCAAGACCTAACTTAGTTAGCCAATCAGCACTATAGTTTGCTTCTCTAAAAACATGATTAACTTTAATAAATTTGATCTTTTTAAGAAAATTCCTAATATGCTTAATAATAGAGAATAAGGGATGGGTATTTTTTTGAATATTAACCACTAAAGAGATAGCCTCCTTTGAGTCACATTCTATTCAAACCACTTGGATCTTCCTAGTTATGACTAGCTGTAAACCCTAAAAAGGCCCCAAAGTTCCACTGTTATGGGAAGACAAAATTCCAAAGTCTTATGGAAGCCAAACAAAATATCTCCTTTATTATTTTTAATCAGAACACCACAACTAGCAAGACTCCTATTTCGTGAGACAACCCAATCAATGTTTAGCTTAAACTAATTCTCCAAGGGAGGCTACCACTTCACAATTCAAGTACAACCACCACCAGTAGCCAAAAGCCAAGATTCAGACCTGCAAAACAGAAAAAAGTAATCAATATCAAACATAATTTTGTTAAACAAATCTTTACTATTTAGACGCTTGTCCTGAAAAATATCCTTATTTGTGTTACGCCAAATGTTCCAAATGACAACTCTAAAAACTTTATTTCAAAGAGGGTATAGGGGGAATTGATTTTTGGAGAGATTGAACTCTAGCCATCTAGACAATCCCAAACTAAAGAACGTAGCCCACTTATCAGAAGGGAGGATTCAACTTCATATACTATTAGTAACCCAACAATCTCTAAAAAATGGGGTATTGTTTCAGGAGTCTTTTGACAACTTCAACAAATGGGGGAATCAATCATATTTTGGTGGAATCTCTCCTCATTAGTTAGGAGCTTGTCATGGACAATTTTTCACAAAGAGGTGGTAATTCTAGGAGGACTCTCCCACTTTCAGATAATGTCAAAGATGGAATTTTGAGTGTTAGTAGACTGATCAAAATTCATAATGATCCTATAGGCTAATTTTAAGGAAAAGATCTCATTACTGATTAAATTCCAGTAAACCTGGTCTTGACCCTCAGCAAGGGAGGGGGTTAATGTTATTAATCAGGTCACAGCTAGATCTGGGAATAAAACCCCTAGTTTTATCCTAATCACAGTTATCATGGAGGAAAAAAATAGCAACAGGGTCATCAAACATATTATCAGGGATAGGCTGAATAACTATACTAGATAGGGATTGGCTATCACTAAGTCAACTGTCCTGCCAGAACCGGATAGTCATTCCATTGCCAAGGACCTAACCAAGGCCTTTATAAAAATAATCTCACACAACAGTTATACTTTTCCATAAAGGAGAGGAGTTTTGGCTGATACTATCCTTAGGGTTTTTCCTAAAAGAAAATTTATATTTACAGTTAATAATTTTGGCCCAGTAGGTTTCTGGAGACGTAATCAATCTCTAACATAACTTTATCATAAATACTTGATTGACCATTCTAATATCCCTGAACACTAAGCCGCATTCTCCTTAGGTTTACAGATCTTATCCCAACCTATTAGGTGACATTTCCTTTTATTTAAAAAACCCCAAATGAATCTTTTAAATATAGAATTAATCTCATTACAAATATATTTAGGAAATATCATAGTTTGCATGTAATAGTTGGGGATATTCATAATACTAGATTGGGCAAGAGTAATTCTCTCAGCCAAAGATAAAGTATTACTACCATCTCTAAGGGCTTCAATATTTTTAAACTGCCTTCTAATGATGACTGCTTTGTGGAAGAAAGTATTATTTCTATCTCCTAAGTTAATCCAACTAATCTTATACTGATGAAACCAACAATTCTCTTCTTGGTCCAGAATTTCCTGATAATCCATCAATAAAGATTTCATGAGGCTGTTAAGGTATGAGTTGTCTTTATTCCCAATCTTACAAGAAATACCCCGAATTCTATTCAAAATTCTATTCAATCTTACACGAGGCTGTTGAGGTATGACTCTAGTTTATACCTCATGTTAATCGAAATGAAACATGCAGTCTTTGTTAAGCAATCTACAATCACCCACACAACATCGTGATTTCTCTTTGTTCATGGCAAACCAGACACAAAGTCCATGGAGATATTATCCCATTTCCATTTGAAAATTTCTAACAGTTGTAATTTTCCTAGTAGACATTGATGTTCTGCCTTCAATTTCTGGCATGTTAAACACTTTGCAACATACTCGGATATCTCTTTCTTCATGTTGTACCACCAAAAATTTCTTCGCAAATCGTGATACACTTTCATTGCTCTATGATGGAAACTCAGCTAACTCTTGTGTGCCTCTTCCAATATCATTTTTTGTAATTCTTCATTTTAAGGAATGCACACTCTACCTTTGAATTTTATAATTCCATATAAGTCACGATAAAACTCTAAGCTTTTGCTTTCATCCTTTGGCTGCACCCTATCTTGCAAATATTGATCTTCCAATTGAGCATTTTGGACTTGCATCAAGAAATCGTTATTAACTTTCAAAGTACCCATGTAAAATCTTTTAGGTCGTACTTCTACCATCAAATTCAAGTCTCTAAACTCTTCGATCAATTTCCATTCTTTTATCATCATGGAAGAAATATATAAGGATTTCCTGTTCAATGCATTTCCTACGACATTTGCCTTTCCAGGATGATAAGATAATGTGAAGTCATAATCTTTAAGAAACTCTATCCATCGCCTCTGTCTCATGTTTGGCTCTTTCTTATCCAACAGATATTTCAAACTCTTATGTTCACTGAATACTTCTAATCTTGATCTAAATAGGTAATGCCTCCAGATTTTCAATACAAATACCACTGCTGTTAATTCCAAATCATGTGTGGGGTAGTTGACTTCATGAGGTCGAAGTTGTCTTGAAGCATAAGCAACTACTCTTTTGCATTAGAACACTTCCCAATCCTTGTCCTAAAGCATCACAATATACCTCAAACTTTTGCTCCGGTTCTGGCAATATCAACACTAGTGCTGATGTTAGCTTTTCCTTTAAGTTCTGAAAACTAGCTTCACATTCTTCATTCCACTCAAAGTCTTTTCCTTTCCTCGTCAATTTTGTTAAAGGTATCGCTATTTTAGAAAATTCTTCAATAAATTTTCTATAATAATCAGCCAATCCAAGGAAACTTCTAATTTCAGTTGAAGCCATTAGGCTACTACTTCTACTTTTGCTTTGTTGATCATAATTCCTTCCTTTGACACAACATGTCCCAAGAATTGTATCTGTGAAAGCTAGAATTCACACTTTGACAATTTTGAATACATCTGCCTTTCACTCGATAATCGCAAGACAATTCTTAAATGCTCAACATGCTCCTTATGACTCTTGGAATATATTAGAATATCATCAATAACACCACCACAATTGGTCCAAAAATTCCTGAAAAATTCGATTCATATAATCCATGAACACTGCTGGGGCATTAGTCACACTAAATGGCATCACCTAATATTTGTAATAACTATAGCAGGTCCTAAAACCTGTCTTGGGGATATCTTTCTTCTTCACTTAGATCTGATGATAGCCTTATCACAAATCGATCTTTGGAAACACCAAAGCTCCTCGTAACTGATCCATCAAATCATCAATCCTGGAAATTGGGTACTTGTTCTTAATCGTCACTTTATTCAATTGACGATAATCCATGCACATTCTCATACTCTCATCCTTCTTTTTCACCAAAAGTATTGGTGCTCCTCACGGTGATACACTTAGTCTCACAAATTGCTTTTGCAATAAGTCTTCCACTTACTTTTTTACCTTAGCTAGTTCCACTGGTAACATTCGGTATGGTGTGATCGATACTGGGCTTGCTCCTAGAATCAAATTGATAGTGAATTTGAAATCTCTTTCTGGTGGCAATTCTATTACAACCTCTAGAAAAACTTCTAGAAAATCTTGCACTACTGAAATATACTCGGCTTTCACAGTCTTATCAATCTCAGCAGAGAACAACACCATGAAAGCCTTAGTTTCAACTGTGTTTCTTGTTTCACCCATACTTAGGAGTCTAGAGTTTCCTGGTGTATCATCACCAAAGATTAAAGCTTTCTCCTTACAATCTAACAGAACATGATTGGATGACAGTCAATCCGTACCCAAAACAACATCGAGTTGAGAAAGCGGTAAACAGATTAAGTTCACACAGAAATTTCTACCATGAACCATTATAAAACAACCTAAGCATACATAAGAGGTTGCCATAGGCTTAGCTGTAGGAGTGGACACAATGACATTACATGCCAGAGAAGATATTGGTAGTCCAACACAGTTCACACAATCCATAGAAACAAAAGAGTGTGTGGCACTAGAATCAAACAAAACATCACATAATCTATTGTTAATAATGCATTTATCTCTAATTAACTCATTAGATTTAGATGCCTCAGACCCATTCATGGTAAAAACTTTGCCTTGCACATTCGGCTTCGCTCCACTACTTGCTCTGGATATAGGTGTGTTACTTCCACTTGCACTCCCACTCCGTTGAGGAGCTAACCAACAATTATTCGCCAAGTGCCCCATCTTCCCACAAATACCACAAGTCAATGATGGTTGTGAGCAATTTCTCATTAGATGAGGGCCTTCACATCTAAAGCATCTTAGTGGTCCTCTTGAGAAATTGAAACTACAGCTACTACCTCCACGAAATGCAGTCCCCCTTGACTGAGTGATTTACACCAGAGTAAGGTCCTCTAGGGAACCTTAGAGGCCATCAGTCCTCCAATCTGGCTATCTACAATCTTGCCTTTAGAGTTTGCTTCAAATATTCAGCATTTGCTAACCAATGTTGGCAAATCAGTCAGCTGAAACACACTGACTGCGGCCCCGTATTTCAAATCTCAACCTATTCTTAAACTAGGCACATAAATCTTCATCTTCATCCTCATGTTAGAAATAAGGCTAGTATTTCATAAGCTCATGAAATTTTGCAGCATAGTCTCCCATAAACATATTTCTTCGCTTGAGAGAATTCTCGAGCTTTTTGTTTCTTTAAGCCTCTGGAAAAATAGTTTCTTAGGAAACATGACTTGAAAGCTTCTCAAAGAATATACCCTTCTTCTTATGGCAGAGTTTGACTGGTAAATCTCCACCAATCCTCTATTTCTCCTCCCAATATATAGGTGCCATAAACCACCTTATGTTCCTTGTGACATCCCATTGCATTGAAGATTTTTTCTGTATCCGTTATCCATCTCTGGGCACCTTCAGGATCAACTTTTCCTTTGAACTTCAGAAGGTTATGTTTCATGAACAATGAGAGTCCACGATACTCTGCTGGCTCTAAATCTTGGTTATGCACCAAGGTCTCCAAGACTTGCGTCATGTGGGCCAGAATCTCATTTGTAGCACCAACAGGTCTACCTCTACCAGCCATAATTCTAATTCTAGAAAAATCAAATTTCACACATCAGTTTTCATTCTTACACATTTCATATCAAGTTCAAACCATACAAACATTTCAATCACAAAAAATTTACAACCACTAGGTTGTATTAACAAACAATTTCTAAACAATAACACATAACACACCACATCGATTAACTAGTCTCATACCCCACGCTGGTTTGGATGAACTGCTCTGATACCAAATTTTAACACCCTAAAATTTTAAAATATGAAAACTGCATTCTTTATTATTAATTAGGATAAAAATGACATTTTCGCATACGATAAATCTTATTATGACAAGTTATTAAAAGTCACTTTATAAATGGGTTTATTATAAACAAAATTTTCCTATACGTGCAATACAATGGAAGCAACAATACATTTAAAGACTATAATAAACCATAATCAAATTTCCAATTTGAGAAGCTGAACATGCATTTCATATTTCAAGTATAACAATTTACAAATTGTTTGTCATAATATATGGGACTTAAAATAATATTTTCATAGCCAAAATAATTACATCATATATGCAAATTTAAGTCCTAGAGCAGTCTCAAACATAACCCAACACTGAAGACCAGTCCTATTCATCAACCACGTATCAACTCTCTATCTCAACCAAAATTTCAGAATCCAAATCATCATCTGATCCAATGTAACGATCGCCTGAATTAGCTGTGACCTCTATGTCATTCACTCGCTCGAAATTTCATCAGGACAGTCTCCCGAAATGGTTGTGGTCATGATAAGTGAATAGATAGGTGAGAGCTGTCGGAGTTCTAACAATACCACTGTACATATAGATACATGGGGTCTGATGTATTCTGCTCCTAGGAAAATTAAAAGTGATACTACAAAAGAAATTCATCTCTAACATAACCCAGGTCCTAGGTATATCTTTAACAAGAACAACAAACTTAAAATAACATAATCTTTGATATTTATTAAATACATAATTAAGTCTATTATGTATTGAACTATCTAGTAGTCTAACTCTTTCTTGAGACTCTATCATCCTGTTTTCCTAAAAATATTAGTAAGGATGAGTGTCTATTCTACTATTTACAAATTATTACATTACAAAAAAGAATCATGGTTTATAATACAACGAAAATATATTCACTTTCACACTTATTTATATTGCTAACATATTCACAAATACACAACTCAACAATTCATTATACTTTATCTATTCTCTCATTCCAATACACACTCCTAGTGCATTGTGATCAAAGATATCGATGTCTCCAACATTTCTTGATGTCTTACTCAACTAGGTAAATAGTTGCCGGTTAGCCCACGCAAACGAATACAACGTATATAATAATCGAGCCCCTTAGTAAAGACATAGCCAGGAGTCTAGTCAAGAAATAAGTGTGAGGTCATGTGACGCATTTGCTCTCAGAAAGAGTGTGTACACATACGTGAATGTCGCCCATCACCTTATATTTCTCCCAGATTTTCAGTGTTTCCGGACTCTATAGCCTAGTGTATCTCTATAACTATTCACACTAGATCTAATCCATATTTGACACTTAAAGTCATTCTTAGAGCTATCCTTTTTTTCATTCACTCATACCCTTATTAATGTAGTTACAACTATTAAATCCTTTAGATTAGTATCATTTCATCCAAATATATTTCATAAAATCACATCATAATCACTCAGCAAGTTTAATAATATTTCACATTAAATGCTCATTGTATAATACATATAAGCATGTAACAACCATTTAATCCAAATAATCAATCAGTTCACGCAATCAAACAAGCATATTTCCATTCATTATTCACATTATAGATATTTTAACCACATCTTTTCATGAAATGTCCATATAACAATGCTTTAATGAGCACAAAATAAATACTAAAATAGAACGATAAAATAGAGCCCTCCTTACCTCAAATACGAGTTCACTGAGAGATATTGAAGAAAATTATAGTTCAAAGATAGAAGTTCTCTTGAGTACCAAGAGATATCCGTAAGAAATGAAAAATATGAAAAACGATTAGAGAAAACAAAATTTAATCTGAAGAAACTTACTTGTAGTCGTTTATATTCAACGTCCAAGCTTAGATTTGAAGAGTAACCAGAGTTTCTGAGGCTTTTCTCTAGACAGAGGAAAAGAGAGTTTAGAGAAAATAGTGGAGGACTTGTAGTCGTTTAGATTCAACGTCCAAGCTCGGATTTGAAGAGTAACCAGAGTTTCTGAGGCTTTTTTTTTTTTAGAGAGGAAAAGAGAGTTTAGAGAAAATAGTGGAGGAACATGAGTTTGGAATGAAATGAAATTTTCAAACTGAAAACCTCTTAAATACCCTTCATCCCAGTGCGCTCTCGCTTGAGCGAGATGATGTCTAGAGAGCCGGATGTTTTTTTCTGTGAGTCCTCATCTAAGCGACTCATCTCACTTGAGCGAGATCTCAGCTCGCCTGAGCGAGATCACTCTCGCCTGGGTGAGGTGACAGTTGGACTGAATTTATCCTAACTCGCTTGAGCGAGATAGCCCTGCAACATCATATTTTTAGGCACTCAGTCTCGCCTGAGCGAGATTTGCCCACCTAAGCGAGACAACCCTGCACCAGAATCCTGTCAAAAATCCTCCATACTCTCTTCTAAATATACTCTAATACTGTTTAATATTAAACAAAACATAATTTACCGAATAATAAAAAAGAGGGTATTACAACACATGTTACTTAATGTGACATATCATCGCTATGCTACTTTTAAAATACTAACATAATTGGCTATCGTTAATTTTAGGTATTAAAACTACAAATTTTAAATTTAAGAAATTAAATTAAATAATATTATATATTTTAAAAATTAAAGTAAAGATTTATTCTATTTTTTACCGCACTATTTTTATGTAATTTTAAATATAAGATGTGTGGCCTAGTTCACTAAGTCTAGAAATGAAATTATGAATGTTATTTTTAAATTAGGAGACAATAGAATGCATATTTATATGAAACTAAAGAAAAATGATATTTATATTTTTTTTAATGTGTTTAAAATATTATAAACTATATATTAATAATATATTTTTTTTATTGAAATTATTAAATATTTATAACAATAAATTTTATAAATTAATAAAAAATATTATTTACTGAATTTTTATTATTTACTCTGTAATGTATATTGAAAAATCATATTTATTATGCATAAATAATAACTTTTTATCACATTACATGATTTATTATAAAATTTATTTTTTTTCTTGTTTATCTTTCACCAACACTTTATAAGATTTAAGAGAAAATATAAAAGAAAAAAGGTATGTTACAAAAAATTCATAACAAAATATAAATTTTTAAAGATATTTGGTATAAAATATGTAAAAATTCTCCATTTGTTTAATTGAAACGAAAATAACAACAAAAACACCGCTTTTTTTTTCTTTGAATAAAGAATCATGTGCTTGAGACAGAAATGAGTTATATAAATAGTTTTAGTATTACTCTAATGTGTCTATATAAAATATTATTTTCATATCACTAAGTGCATATGGATCAAGTAGCATAATATAATAGTTTTACATGGTTTGAATATATTATCTCTAAATAAAAAAATACGATTATTTATTTTAATTAAAATGATTATATATGTGAATTTTAGTGTGTGTTTGGATGATTATCGTGGATTATGCGAAAAAAAATTTTTAAAAAGTTATTTAGTTTTATTTGGTAAATTTAAAAAATAGTTTATAATATATATATATATATATATATATATATATGAAAACCTTTTATTTGTGATGCACGTTACATAATGATATTAATAATTTTACCGTGATTATTAACATAGCATAATTACATTATTACCATGCTATTATTAATTAAAGACAAATATTAATATTTTTTAAATCAAATCAGCAAAATAAACTTTAAAAATGAAAGTTATACTACTAATCTTGAAGAAGCAATTGTTGCGTTGATCTGAGGAAGAAAAATATCTCAGATCAGAATTAATTAAGTTGAAACTGTCATGCATTTAACAGATATCACTCCCCATCAAGTGCCCGTTGCATTGGCCATTCATACATGTGGGCCAATCATTTACCTTAAAATAATCGTTACATATTTACAAATACTTCAAAACTTTCAATGATTTCATGTTATTCGGC